TTTTAGCCCTATTCTAATTTTTATGTGAGTGAATCTAAACTGCTGAGGAAGACCATATGTGATTGTTAAATTATATATATATACACATATACATATATATATTTTTTACTCCGCGCAATGCTTATTCTTCTACATCCATAGATGCTTGAGAAGCTGTGTTTTTGTCATTCATGTAACACATTTTCCTTTGGAAAAAAAGAAAGCGCCTATTTTACTAACCAAAGACTTGGTTTTTACCCTCTTCGTTTTTATTCCCTCCTAGAAAGAAGCCCATTTTGGATGAGATTTGGGTGTTTTTTTTTAGTGTGTTTTTCTTTTCAGAGACCAGAATTCCAAATCAGAGCTATTTAGGGTGATAAGCTGCAATCTTTGAGCTAGCTATTAATAAGACATTTCAAACAAACAAATATTTTGGGTAGAGGTTACAAAGGCGTGAAACATCAGGTTGTCGTGTTTTTTTAGTTTTTTTAAATTTTTTGTTTTTTTATTATTGTAAGATTCTGCTTCTAAAAATAATAAATGGGGGATTACGGGTTTGGAGTGCTAGTGCAAAGCAATACTGGGAATAAATCTGCTTTTCCAGTCCGATTCCACCCGCATCTGCAGCCTCCACACCATCACCAAAATGCCACCCCCAGCCCTGCTGCTTTTATAAATAATAACACAGCTGCCAATGGCAGCAGCGCCGGCTCAGCCTGGCTCTTCCCTGCTCCGGCTGCCCACAACATCCAGGATGAGATCTTGGGGTCAGAAAAAGCCAAAAGTCAGCAACAGGAGCAGCAAGACCCCCTGGAAAAGCAGCAGCTCTCCCCCAGCCCGGGTCAGGAAGCTGGAATACTGCCTGAAACGGAGAAGGCGAAATCGGAAGATAATCAAGGGGACACTTCTTCAGAAAATGGCAATGGGAAGGAGAAGATCAGAATCGAGTCACCCGTGTTGACAGGGTTTGATTATCAAGAAGCTGCGGGGCTCGGTGCTTCCACCCAGCCCCTGACGTCCAGCGCCTCATCTCTGACTGGCTTCAGTAACTGGTCAGCGGCCATCGCGCCCTCCTCCTCTACAATCATCAACGAAGATGCCAGTTTCTTTCACCAGGGAGGGGTCCCCACTGCTTCGGCTAATAACGGTGCTCTGTTGTTTCAGAATTTCCCCCATCATGTCAGCCCTGGCTTCGGAGGCAGCTTCTCCCCGCAGATCGGGCCTCTGTCCCAGCACCACCCTCATCATCCTCACTTCCAGCATCATCACAGCCAGCATCAGCAGCAAAGGAGGTCTCCTGCCAGTCCCCACCCCCCACCTTTCACACATAGAAATGCTGCTTTTAACCAGCTGCCTCACTTGGCGAATAATCTTAACAAGCCCCCCTCTCCATGGAGCAGCTACCAGAGCCCCTCTCCTACACCCTCTTCTTCCTGGAGCCCGGGAGGTGGTGGATATGGTGGCTGGGGAGGTTCCCAAGGCCGCGATCACCGCCGAGGGCTGAACGGAGGAATAACGCCCCTGAACTCCATCTCGCCTTTGAAGAAAAATTTTGCAAGCAATCATATTCAGCTCCAGAAGTACGCTCGCCCCAGCTCTGCCTTTGCTCCTAAGTCCTGGATGGAAGACAGCTTGAACAGGGCTGACAACATTTTTCCTTTTCCGGTAAGATTGTGTTCCACTAACAGATAAACATGAATAAGGAAATGGCCTGGTGTAGTATCCAACTAAGACAGTTTGAATTGTCCATGTTCCTATCAGAGCTCTTCCTAGAATATGAGTTACCAGACGTTATTTTGGTAGGAGAGGAGTGTAACTTGGAACAAAATGTTCAGCTGTTTCTTGGGTAAATGTCTCATTGCAATCTTCCCATAGGTAATTGTATGACTTGGTATAATTAATACCAGGTAGCCAGCTAGTGATGTCGTAATTATTAACTGTAATACCTTTCTAGCCTGACAAGAGAATCAGGGTTGGTTTTTCCCTACTTATTTATGTAAAGTACATAATGTAGGGATACCTTTTGCTGTGGAAACTGCTGAGCATTTTCTACCCATATGCAGTAACTATATAACCAAAAAAAATTCCTTTTTCTCCACTGTAAGGTATCAAGTCACTGAAAACCAACCCTTAAATTGTAGTTTTCTCACGCTTACATTTTATACCTGGAACCTCTCTGAACCATGCGGTGTGAACAGTCTGAACTCATTAATTTCCTTTGAAACCTCTGCAGTTTCTGGCCTGCCTTATATCAGCAAGGACTGCTAGAGAAATGATCTAAGTGTTTTCTTCATGCTCATTTATTTGTGAATACTATGAAACTGTAGATCGCAGAGTGACTCTTTTATGATGCCTTTCACCCATTTGTTTATTTTCCAATGTTAACACTAGGGGTGTAGTTAATTAAACCATGCCTAAAAATAGATCCAGGCCAGGATCACTTGTCTGTCTGCCACCAGTGTATCCTTATTCTGCAAGACTCACATTGTTTGATGTTTCTGAATTAATGAGCAGCCGGTCTAGCTGATAGATATGAGATAAGGGGAATTTCATAGTTAATTGAACATCAGATGCCCCACTGAATTTGTATATTTTGGGGGTATGATCATTTATGTGTTCAGGAAATTTATATGAGATAATCAACTAACATTTAATCAGTCCTCACAACAACCCCACAAGGTAAGTTCAATTATTATCCCATTTTACAGATGAAAAAATTGAGTATCAGAAAGTTATAACGTTCTTAAGAGCACACAGCTCATAAGAGTACAAACTCTAGGTTAAAAAAAAACAAGGATTAAAAATATATCTGTATACGTACATGCTTATACATACACTTGTGCTGTAGATAGAGGATTATTTTAGATCTCTTTCTGCAAGGGCTAAAACAGATTACGTGAAGAATTATCTGTTTTAATTAATAGTTTACTTAGTGGTGGGGGATGTTTGCTAAGAAAACACTGTGTCATTCCAAGGAATGAAATATGCCCTCTCTAAGGATTCAGGTGTAATGGTTAGAATGTATCATAAAATATTTGGTTAAATTTAGTTTTAGATTCTTTAAAAATAATTTTTTGCCTAAGGATCAAAAAGCTCTATTGGCTTCTGTTTTTAGAAAGGGATTTTACTCAAACCGAAGGGAGCAATTATTGTGTTTCAGTGGGTAAGTTCAATTATTATCCCATTTTACAGATGAAAAAATTGAGTATCAGAAAGTTATAACGTTCTTAAGAGCACATAGCTCATAAGAGTACAAACTCTAGGTTAAAAAAAACAAGGATTAAAAATATATCTGTATATATACATGCTTATACATACACATGTGCTGTAGGTAGAGGATTATTTTAGATCTCTTTCTGCAACGGCTAAAACAGATTACGTGAAGAATTATCTGTTTTAATTAATAGTTTACTTAGTGGTGGGGGATGTTTGCTAAGAAAACACTGTGTCATTCCAAGGAATGAAATATGCCCTCTCTAAGGATTCAGGTGTAATGGTTAGAATGTATCATAAAATATTTGGTTAAATTTAGTTTTAGATTCTTTAAAAATAATTTTTTGCCTAAGGATCAAAAAGCTCTATTGGCTTCTGTTTTTAGAAAGGGATTTTACTCAAACCGAAGGGAGCAATTGTTGTGTTTCAGTGGTCAGGTAAAAGGCCGTTAAGACATTGACAATCTCATGAAGTCTAGTTTTAAAAAGTTACTTTTGACATTCCTTTGAACATAAATTTAAGGGAAATTTAATGCAAAGGTAACTGCTATGAGTTACTCATATATTATTGCTAATTTAAAAAAATCTAAGGTGGCATTTTATACATTTTAACTGGATTAAGATTGGCTCAGAATTGAATATTGAATGCACTATTCTTTTTTATTTTGCTATTATACACTAATGGAATGACTCATGGTTTATTGTCCATTTTCAGTTTACTAACTTTGATAAAGGTTTGCTTTGGGAAAAGTAAAAATTTCAGAAAATGAATAAACTACATGTGTGCACATGAATAATATTTTTATGGAGCTAATGGAATGTGTTTAACAAGTGAAATCTTTTCCATCAGATGGTTTCTATTAAGTTGGGTTCTGAAATAATAAAATAGGCTAGGATTGTTACTAAAATATATTGTTAGAAACTAACTCATCCCTTGGAATTGTTGTCTGTTATGCTGAGGGTGGGAAAAAGGAGTCAATATACCTGGCTCAAATGTGGTAGAATAGAAAGTAAATTGCTCATTTCTCCTCACCATCCCCACAATTTTTTAGAGAGATTGAGGAGAGAGTGTATAAGAGAGCAGGAGAGCAAGCGCGCATGCACACACACACGCATGAGTATGCAGGCGCTAGCATTGGGGTGATTTGAAAGTCACAATAAAAATAAGTGATTTGAAAAAAAATCTTTATAACAAGAAATTCCTAATTGGGTTTTGAAAATATCATAACAAGTTAGTAAACTGACTGCTGTGGTGCTTACTGGAATGAATGTAGTTCTGTGTGTTTGTTTTAACAAGAATTCTTGTGAATTAGTTATTTGGCACAAAAAATAGTTTCGAATTGATATGAATTAGATAAATTTGATATGAAAAAACTTGAAGGGACATTTGACTGGGAGCCAGGAGACCTATGTTGTGGTCTTAGCCCTATCAGTCGGTATCATAGCATTGGGGGGACTCAGTTTCTTTATAAAATGTGGGGGGTGACTTTCTAAGTTCATTTTGATCCTAAAGCAAAGCAAGATACTGTAGAATTTACTACCACGATCCACTCTTTAAAAAAAAACAAAAAACACCACTACTCTCTTATTTAAATTTATTTCTTTGAGCACTATTAATTTTAGGAAAGACATTTTATAGATATTAGTAATTCAGTTTCGATTGCTATTCCTTAGATGTAAGAGAGATCTTTAAATTTACCACAGACATTACAGGATAGAGCTACTTTATAACATTGGTATCCAATCAAAGACTAGCATGGTATTGTTTTTTAAAAGGAAATAACTTACCTGAAATGTAACTAATACTAAACAATGTTTATTTAATTTAAAATTAATCAGAATGGTTTTTATGTTTGTTTAATGCAGGTTTGAGTACCATATAGTGAATTAAAAATAATGGTAACATTTTTAATGAGGTGGGGTTTTTTTTGGCCAATCTTAACCTTCTCTTTTATCCATGTTTATGGAGCAGGAGCACAGGTTCCAAATATGTGAATAATCTTCCAGATAACTGATATTCCAAAGCATTGTATTTTGGGATATTTTGTATTAAAATTTATTTCTAAGTTACTTTTGCTTAACTTAAAGTTTTCATTGTGTGAATTCAGATAACATTCCTCAAGTCCAGTTTTCAGATACAACTAAATTTAACATATATTTAATAATAGCTAACATGTCTATGATATTCTAAATGTTTTACATGTATTAACTCATCTAATTCATTCAACAATCATACAAGGTAGAAATTATTATTATTATTATTATTACTATTCACACATAAAATTTGGCTCTTACCTATTATACTACAGTGCCTCTTCACAAAACCTGATACAGGTGGGAGGGACGGGTTATGGGAAGGAAATGCCTCCCAGAAGCATGTAAGATGAGAGGAATCTTTTTACAGAAAATAATTGATACATGCTGCTCTGAAGCTGATTATAGATAACATTTTGAAAGTAGAAAATAATAGAATATATTTATCAACTTTAAAATGTTAAACTTAGTATTCAAATCAAATCTTTTTTTTGTTTTTATTACATACTAGAGGCCCGATGCACGAAATTTGTGCAAGAGTAGGCCTTCCTTCCCCCGGCTGCTGGCACCAGCTTCCCTCTGGCACCTGAGACCCAGGCTTTCCTCGCAGCCCCTGCTTGGTCTGGAAGGTCGCCTGGAAGGACATTCGATCTAATTAGCATATTACTCTTTTATTATTATAGATTATTATAGATTACATACCAGGCACTGAAATATAGGTGCTTTTACATATGTTGTCTCACTTCCTATGTGAGGTTTCTCAGCCCGTGAGGTCTGGTTTTATTGTCCCAATTCCAAAATGAAGAAACAGGATCCATATTCATGTGACTACAGACATGATTTGACCTTCACATTAACGGGGGGTGGGGGGTGGGGGATCCGCCCCGTCCTACAAGCACATCCTGGAATTCTGATGTCCAAACCAAATAGTATGTTGGGGCATCACCAACAATTATATTTGACTATAGGATTTCTTTGGAAGGGTGCCTAGATCATCTGCCCTACACAAAAGTAAAGGGGAATTGTGTAGTATCTATTCTCATACTCTCTTATCTTCAGCTCAGTTATGTTCCCACCTCCATTAGCTAAGAACCAGGAAGTAGGCAGAAAAAAAAGGGGGACAAAATCTGTCACAAAGATTGATTGATAGGGAGACATTTTAGGACTTAGAGATTATTTGCTCTTACTACAGACACAGTCACCATGGATTTGTTTTCTTAACCAGGCAAATAATTCATGTCACTTTAATAGTTCTCCTTGGGTTGTCAATTTATTGATCCTTAAAATTATAAATGCCATCTTACATTTTAAAACAGAAAGTGTACTATGTTGCTTCAGTTCTAAAAGTCATGGTGAATTATTAAATTGTCTAAAGTGCAACGTCATTACATTTTTTTGTTTTTAATATAGTTTTATGAG